ATTCATATTTTATCTTGGAAATAGTACAAAGAGAAAAATAGCTGCAATTTACATAGGATATTATATAGACCATAAAAGTTTGCTTTGTTTATGGTGGAGACAGTACAGGTACACCTGTTGAACCAGATACTAATGAGCTTTGTCCCAGTAATGTATGACATGTGGAACTGAGGGTACTTGTCATCCTTAGCCCATTCTTCCATTGTAATTTTGAAATACCATTAATATTTATTTATCAATATGTATATAAATACCTTACATTTGTCAGTAAGATGATAAAAATGAATAAATGTATATGCTGAGTGAGCCAATGCATGAAAATAGGGGAAATTTTTAAGCTATCTAAAAGTAAGTAAATACAACTGAAAAAAAAAAATTTTCCTCAGCACATACACATTGCCCTTAGATGGTAGTCATGGTTTTTATCACTTAAAGTCACATAAAGTCACATGTAATTCTCTGACATTATATATTCAGTAAGTTTGCATAATTATATTGTAGTTATGCATACTACCCATATGCATGTTAACTATATATATACATATATATATATATATATATATATATATATATATATATATATATCCTACTTATTCACACACAGTCATCGAGAGGTCAAGAAAATGCATTTTGATTCACCTACCATAAGACAATATTCTAGAAAAGTTGGAGGAAAAATATAATGCCTGACCAAAAAATTGAAATATATCATTTTTATTTATCCAGCTGTTTGTCATTGGCCATGTAACATGTCTCATTGTGGAAGACATTTCTGCCAAGTATTGCAACCTGGTAAAAGGTTGGCTGACTTTAAGAATTTCATGCTTTGGTTTGTATTGAAAAAATGCATTATATACTTAAATTTCAAAGTCAGAAAAGAGTACAAGGATAAGTTTGTGAAAGAAAAGGATTTACTGACAAAAAATATACAATATTTTTTTAGAGTCTGAATTTTAATTTTTGAGAATAAAACTTATTATAAGCACTATTTAAGAATTTCCAATAGAGGGATACTCAGACATAAAGTGAGTAATGACTCATCTTCTATAGAATACATTTAGTTCAAAATTAACAGTATTGAGTCTTTTCTCCTTAAATTTGACTACAGATTCATGATTTTAAAATGGAATAAATTTGTTATGTAAATTATATTTTTCAAGAAAACTTCCCCAGGCTCAGAGTAAATATGTGAACATTCAGCAAATTTACACACATTTGAAGAAACATCTCCCAAAAGCTAAAATGTCAAAATGTAACATAAACTGTAAAAAAACTTGGCTTGCTGGAGGAAGTAGATTCCTTGAACATGCTGATTTTGATATACATCCATAAGAGGACAATGTAGCATATCTAGATACTAGTTAGTAAGCAATGGGTATCACAACGGATAATTTAAGGTTTTTACATGATGTTAGGTAAGACAGAATCTTAGTGAAGTATTCTTCACAATGGAGGTTTCTTATCCTGTCCAATACTATTTTTTTTTATATATCTATCATTCTAAAAAGCTATGATATTCTAGAGGAAAGCCTATCTGACTCGATAAGATCTAACTTTATAGAATTATATCCAACTAAGACCAATTTTACTGATTTTTCTTTTAATTTTTCATGACAGGGTTTCTCTTTATATTTTTGGAGACTGGCTTGAATCTTGCTGTGTAGATCAGGCTGACCCTGAACTCATAGAGGCCTGCCTCAGCCTCTGGAGAGCTGGGATTAAAGGCATGTGCCATCAATGCCCAGCTGATATTGTTTTACATTTATTATATGAATTAGGCTTGAAACTCAAGCCCTGATCACTGGTATGTTCTTACACGCACAGATTTTTGTCTGTGGCATTATTTAGAACTGGCCTGTATCGAATTATAGTAGTAAGAAGCAGTGTAACAATTTATGCTAGAGAGGATGTAGAGAAAGGAGAACACTACTTCACTGCTGGTGGGAGGGCAAACTTGTATAGCCATTTTGGAAATCAGTATGGTGGTTTATCAGGAAAATGTAAACCAGTCTATGTCAAGATCCAGAAATTCCACTCTAGGTCAAAAGATGCACATTCATACAACAAGGACATCTGTTCAAATATGTTCATCATAGCATTATTTGTAATAGGCAGAACTTAAAAGCCACCTAGATGCCCCTCAACTGAAGAATGGATAAAGAAAAGGTGGTATATTTACACAATGGAGTGTTACTCAGCAGGGGAAAAAACAAAAAAATAAAACAAAGCAAAAACAATGGAACCTTGAAATTCACAGGCAAATGGGTGGAACTAGAAGATAATCCAGTCACAAAAACACAAACACATCGTGTACTCACTCATATATGGATATCAGACATAATGCAAAGGATTACCAGCCTACAATCCACACTGCCAGAGAAGGTAGGAAACAAAGAGGATGCTAAAAGAGATATAAATTTTCCCACAGAGGAAAAGGAAAGGCACAAAAATCTCCTGAACAAATTGGGAGCATGGAGGGAGGGGCTAGGGAGTTAGGAGAAAGAGAAGGGGGGATAAAGGGTGGAGATATCAGGGACCAGGAAGATTGAGTTGGAGAAATCTGGCATTAGAAAAATGGGAACCAGTCTACCTCAGGATCCAGTAATTCCACTCTTAGGCATATACCCAAAAGTTGCACAAATACAACAAGGACGTCTGTTCAACTAAGTCCATGGCAGCATTATTTGTAATTATTTGTAATAACCAGAACCTAGAAGCAAACAAAATGTCCCTCAACTGAAGAATGGATGGAGAAAATGTGTTAAATTTACACAATTGAGTACTACTCAATAACAAAAAACAACAACAAAACAAAACAAACAAATAAAAAACCAGTGGAGTTTTGAGATTCGCAGGCAAATAGATGGAACTAACAGAAATCATCCTGAGTAAGGTAACATAGTAACGAAAAGACAAACATGGTATGTATTCACTCATAAATGGTTTTTAGACATAGAGCAAAGGGCCAACTTTAAAAGAGAAACATAGAGCTATCGATTTTTTGTTATAAAGTTTTAGAAATAGATCATCAGGCACAAACTCCGCTGGGAGATGAATACCATGAGCAGTGTCCAGATATGCTATATTGTAATGACTCCTCAGGATGTTACAGATTTTTCATAAATCAATCAACCAGAGTGAGATAAGTATAAGATGAGAAACAGTAAGACAGGATGAGGATGCCTTTTTTGTAGGCACAATCATGTGCATATGTGAAAATCAGTTCAAGACGTCCCATGTAACAATAGAAATTTAAGACCAGAGTAGAATTTGGATATATATATATGGAAGCTTGGGCTTGTATAAGCATAATGGCTCACTACTTTAAACTCCACTGCACAGGCTAGGGTCCAGGTTTTAATGAAATCTCTCAGGGTGTTTATAGACAAATATATCTCCATTTCCAAACAATAAAGTTCTGCTATCAAGTTCCTTTAAATATCTCCTAAGAGATAACAATATTTCATTTTCATTCTTAACCCAACTGCCTCTTGCCCCACCAAAGCACAGATAGTTCTAGCATGATGAGGAGGTTCACATTACTTGTTTGCTTCTCAAAATATAATGCATCAGTTTGTAACTGATATCAAAATGTAGCAAATACAGATTTAAATCACTCAGTATATGTCAGTATTCATGTTAAAATTTCTTCAGTGCATTATTGTGGAATAAGTGTGCTATTTTAAATGTAAAATGGAGTAAACTTAGAAATGACTGAAGACAACTATTATTTATTATATTGCTCTAGTTACAGGCATCTGTGCTGGAGCTGAATTCATCCTCAGCCTCAATCCAGAATACAAAGGTTAAGTACTGTTCAACTTATAACTGGCTATAGGATGAATGCAAAATGTGTACAAATGTTTATTAAATGTTTTGAAATTAATTAATAAAAATTAATATTAATAGTAGAAATAACCTTCAGCTACAAAATAGATTAACATCTTGTTTGTACAATACTTATATACTGAAACATTAGGAAATAGTAAGTCTAAAAATAACAGAAAATATGATGTAATTTGAAATTTTTAAAAATTTATTTTGTGTGTTTCTATATGTGTATATATGGTTCAGTCAGGGACTGAGCATAGCCAGAGCACATATGTGGAGGCCAAACGACAAATTTCTTGGAAAAGTGATATATCTCTCACAACCTCTCACAATCTCTCACAGGATCAAATGCTGGTCATCAGGCCTGTATGCAGGTATCTCTACCTACTGTGTCATATTTCTCGTCCTATGGTATGGATGTATGATGTGTTATCCATATATACATGTTTTAAATAGTTCCTAATTTCCCATGTATTTGCTCTATATTTAGACCTATTGATTTCTTACTTTCCTAAGGCATGGATAACCTCATTCAAATTTCCTGACCATGTATTAAAGAGAAAAAAAATCAAAGCAGATGCCAATCCATCCTTTCAATTTGGTTGAATATTCTCAATGTCATGCGGAATAATCACAGAGAACAAAAAGCTACCATAGAAAAATCAAGTCTTGTCAGTGAGATTATAACCAGAACTTTTATTTCTAATAATTAGTTGAGTAGTACTTTTCACTGAATAATATAATCTTGAAAAGAGTATCATGTTAAGTTTAAGGATTAAACTATACAAATTACATTCTAGTCAGTAATTTAAATTTGATAGTCATCTATAAAAATTGGACCAATATTTTATTTACTTTTGTATTCTTCCATTATGTTTTGACTTACCCCATGTTTTCTATAAACAGTTCAACCTTTGTATTTTCTTTCTTCTTACCCTATGCTTTCTGTAAACAGCTCATTAAATAGGTCATCTACTTCATTTTCTTCCACCTCAGCCTGTTATTTGTAAACAGCTTATCTAAGTTTGTTAAGACTCTCAGAACACAGGAAAACACTTGTCCATATACACTTTCTTCTAAGCTGTGTTCAATTTTTTTCACTCTCTGTTTTCAGCTCATAATAGCATACCAGTGCATGGAGATGTCCTTTGCAGTCATGAAGCACTCACCACAGTTGGCCTCATCTGAGGCATCTGCGCAGTCTGGGTCCTCATCACAAACCCACAGCTTGGAGATGCAATGCTTTGTAGTCTTGCATTGGAAATAGTCAGGAGAGCAGCTGTTTTCAGCTTAAGAAAAAAAATCTTTTAATGTGTAACATGCAGTACAAATGGATTTGCTATTTATTAAAAGCTATTAGACAAGTACTTGTGACATTCAAAGAAAACTTCTCTTTTCATTAATGAGGTATACTGAGCAGAGGAAACATAAGGTTTAATTCTTTTAATGTGTACCTAATGCCTCCCTCACTGGAAATAGAAAGAAAAACATATTTTTTTGATGATACATGACTAAAATAAGTGTTCTCAAATGAGTTATAGATTATATATTTGGAAATTGCTTTTTAAGATTGAGAATTCAGTTTCCCAAAATAACTTTCCAAATATTTTCAGAGCTCCTCATTTATTTTATAAGCCCAAATGACTAAATTTGGAAGATGATAAATTTGGAAGGATGTTAAAACGGTGTAAAGTTTAATAAAAATAATCCTCAGAAGTGTTGTTTTGGAGAGAGTGATAAAGGCTTTTTTCAGACAGGAAACTGCATCACTATCCTGGCCAATTTAGTGGACCCCCCAGCTAGAATGACCACTTTGGGAACTGATCCTAACTCTTCAGAAAATAGTTTCCTAATCAAATTTCTAGATGAATTCACATTTCTGACTGATAAAAGTTTTTGAGGACAAAATAAAACTCCAGCAAGATAGAAATATTCACAGGATATGTGTGTGTGTGTTTGTGTGTGTGTGTGTGTGTGTGTGTGTGTGTGCATGTGCGTGTGCATGAATGCATAATTATCTATCTCTTTCTCCTTGTGCAATAGAGTGTTTTGCCTTCTTTTAAATGTATTTGATATTTCTATGGAGATGAGAGTATAACAAAGTAATTTACTATTATTGTTTTAAGTAGATTTTAGTGTTTACTATGTAAAGCATCACTTATAACAAATTTTGTTTTTATTGCATACTTTTAAAGGTATTTCATAGGGGAAAATTCCTAATCAAAATGAAGCTGATTTCCTACAATTCATTAATCAATAGGCATAAAGCACCTATAGTTAATATGGGGGAAAGTTGATAAAAGGTAAGACACCATATAATCAACTGCTATGCTACTCTGATGTTTTGCTTTATAATGACTTGGATGAGCATCCTGTTCATGCCTACAACAATCTCCAGGGAGCTCTTGAAATAAAGATTATTCATATATTTTTATTTTTCTCACTGTTGTATGTAGAACTTCTTAAACAATGCACTGTAATCAACATAATTTAGTCATTTCTTGTACATATCTTTTCTATTGTTTCTCTATACTGTATGATTTTATGAAGATTAATTTTCATTCTAGTTTCATTTAGCATTCAAAAGTCCAAACAGACAGGACATTTTGTGTGACTTACGACAGTCCCTTTCATCTTCCTCATCACCGCAGTCATCTTGTCCATTACATCTGAGGTTTACTGGGATACATTTCTGGTTCTTGGTACACTTGAACTGACCTGGCAGGCAGACATGTGTGTCTAAGACAAAGAGAAGAAAATAATGTGACATGAGAACCAAGTCTTCATTGAAATGGGTGCAGTCATGAGCAATCAGGACTTAGATGTAAGTGCCCAAGTTAGGACTGTAAAGACTTACCACAGTTAAGTTCATCAGAGTTGTCTCCACAGTCATTCTCCCCATCACAGATGAAAGCAGGTAGTGCACAGAGTCCTGTTCCACACTGAAATCGGCCTGGCTGACATTTAAATTCAGCTGGGAGAGAAAGAATGCAGGTTTTCAAGATGGCAATATAATTCTCTGATGTCTTAAACAGAAATTTGCTGATTTTGTTATTAGTACTTTTCATTGACTATATCTTGAGCATAAAGGGAAATCCTCACATCTAAAGATCTATTAAAGTGTGCTGAACATATAAGTAATGGGTACCCAGATGGCCTCCAAATTTGCATTTTGTAAACTTTCTTACCAGAGAAGCACAATATTAACATGCAATCTATATAACTAAAAAAAATCACTTATGGATTGGGAATTAGCATCACCATTGGTTAAATGCTAATAAAAGGTTGAGGACCTGAGTCCAAATCCCAGAGTACATGTTAGCAGATGTGCATGGTGGCCAACACTTATAATCCTGGTGCTAGAGCAACAAACACAGGTTCATTCCTGAGGAACATGAGCCAGTCAGCCTACACTATTCACCAAGTTCCAGGATAAGAATCCCTGTCTCATCTAAGGAAGAAACTTATCATTGACCTCTGAACTTCCCATGCTCATATCAGTATACATGCATTCACACATAAACATACACACACACACACACACACACACACACACACACACTCAGAGAGAGAGAGAAGCACACACATACCAGGAGAACACTCAATAGTGATCTCACCTCAGTGCCAGACTGTTCCTAAATGTACTTGAATAAAGAGCTTTTATTTCCAATTTTAAAGAATTATTTCTTCTTTCTGCATTGATGCTTACAAAGTGCTTTAGGTTAATTGAAAACCTCCTACACCCATCACATTTAGAAAATGTTTTTACTATTAATTATATACAGTATTTTGGTATAGCAAATGATTTACATGACATTTACATTATTATAAATTGTAGCATTTTTCTCTTGACGTTTTAAACTTGACTCAGGAAACACAACTATATTCTTAATTACAATACTGCATAAATTTTTAAGTTATCTAGAATATAAATAATAATACATATTTTATTTCCATAAAAATAATTCATATTTTTGTTATGTAACTCCCCCAAGAAAAGTGATCCTGTGATTAAATGAATGCTTAAGAAAAAAATTGGGGAGTTCAAGAGATGGCTCAGAGTTTAAAGTTAGTGGTTTCTCCTACAGAGATCTTTGGTGTAGTATCAGCTGTCTTACAGCAGCTTGCAACCATCTCTAACTGCAGAGGATCCAGTGGCCAGTTTTGGCCATCACAAATACTGCATGCTTGTGGTATACAGATAGACACGCAGGGAAAATACCCTGAATATATCTTTAAAAGGGAGATTTAAAAAGGAAGAAACCTTAGAAAATACTGTGATGTTAATGTGTCTTTGGAATTATTTGAGTGCATTAAAATATCGTAGCAAATGTAATTTGAATTTACAGTGACAGAATTCCTGATCATTGTGTTCATACAAATAGTTTTCAAATGTGTGATACTTTGATCACACCAAATGTAATTTGAATTTGCACTAACATAGAATTCCTGATTGATGTCTCTAGAGATAGAACTGTTTAAGTTTTCAAGTGTGTTACTCTTGCATCAGGACTCCTTGCCTTCCTAGATGAGGTTACAGGCTCCAGCATATAGAGATGGTGGTGATGCAACTACTCAAACAAAACTAGGGCAGGGGAGACTCAGCAGGTAAGAGTATTGGCTGCCCTTGCAGAGGGGCTATAATAAGTTCCCAGCATCCACGTGGTGACTACCAACTCTTTGTAACTCCAGTTCTAGTAGATCAAATGCTCTCTTATGGTCTCCACAGGCACTGAGCACATGTTTTACACAGATATACATGAAAGAAAAATACTCATACATATAAAATTAAAAAATAAAGTATTTACAAAATTTCCAAACTCTTTACAGATTTATATATGCCACTTTGAAAGTACCATGGCTCTGAAAATGCTATGTCACTGGATATTTAAGGATCTAACCTACCAACTACAAGTAAACATTTATGTGATAATGATAACAAAATATTTGCAAATCACAATGAACTCCTGTTAAACATATGATGAAATGTTTCCATGAAGATGGATCAGAAACTGATCTCAAAAGCCTAGGTAACAAAAGAGTATCTAGACAAGGTCATGACACCAACTTAAACTGCTTTTGCAAAAATTGAAGCAATCAAGTAGAAGAGACAACCTATGAAAAATATTTCAAAATTATATATCCTAATCATGAGCTAATACACTAAATGCACAACAAAATCAACTCAACCATAAATCAACAAATTAGAAAATTTTAAGAATGGGCTAAATATTTAAAAGAAAAAGACATTACTAATTTAAAAGACAATAAATATTAAAACTACAATAGGATATCAGATCAAATCTATCAAAATATACAATATTTTTAAAGTCAAAGTTTGCTAAATATTGGCTAAATGTGGAGAAAGAATCTGTACACACTTGATAACAATATAAATTAGTACATAGCACAGGAACTTATGAGACATATCTTTAATAGAACTGACATGTTATGTGGTGGTTCTGACACATGTACAAGTACAAAGGAAATGAAGTCAGCATGTTGGAAATTTGTTGCCACCTTAGTGTTTGCTGCAGTGTTACTTATGGTGACCCAGTAAAGCATCACCTTATGTGTACATAGACAGATAAACAGGAATATGTCACAAATAAACACTGAACTGTCATTCATGATTATTTAAGGAAGAAATTTCAATTGTGACAATCTACATGAATAGACACAGCATTAATCACATCAATTTGTCCAGATATAAAAGGAGAAAATACTCTATCATGGAATTTGTATATAAAGCCTTAAAACAAAACAAAATAAAATTCATGACAGTAAAATGATAGCTACTAGAGACTAGGCAGTAGGAGATTGTAGAGATCTTGCCCCCAGGAAGTAAACATATAGGAATTTATATATACATAATTTTCAATCAAATATATATATATAATTATTAATTAAAATATAATATGCAAATACTGATGTTAAACAAGGATCAGTAATATATCATCTGTGTATTGTTCAAATGAACATAAACACTTGGCTACATGTATTCGGAAAGTATGCAACTGGGAGAAACTTATTAACTCTGTAGTTAACTCTTTACTCCAAGGGATTACAACATGAAATTTCAATGTTACAAATAGAATTGAGAAGGTATAAGTACTTCTGACTTTGCTGTAGGTCTTTATGGTGATGTTCCCTCAACAATGGTGGCTCTTGTCAGTAAAGGTCATCTTAATAGAACATTAACAAGCACATGCCATTCTTTTTAAAAATTCAAAGACAAATTGTAATTATTTTATTTGCTACAAAATGGAAAAACTTCTTTTATTATGGAGAAAATAATTTTCTTAGAACAAATCAGTCTTAGTAAGTGTTCATCATCACCCATACCATTCCTTCTTTTGATATTTCTTCTAATTCAAAACTTTAAAAAAAGAATAATTTGATCACAATTTTATACCTATTATCCACAAGTCCTTCTCTTCCTGCATTGTCTATTACAATGAAAATAAATTTGTCAACAATGTTTTAAAAAACAACAAAATTAGAAAGGAATGGCTTTTTTTTTTCCTCACCAAGTGGTAAGCTTATTGCTTTCCACATAAAAGAGTATCTGTGAAAAAACTTCAAGATTATGAGGTTCATAGTGGAAAGGAAGGCAAAATGCAATTCATTTAAGAAATAATCTGAAAATGTGAAATAACTTTGTAATTGGTGTTAGAATGTTCTTCGGAAGTAAATAACTGCCTTGCACTTTGATGGTACTCCCTCTTCAGTATAAGCATTAGGATCTTGAAATCAGTTGTCAAGGCCAACCAAGGCCAAATCATGGATCAATTGTCTGTGCCATGTCAGGCCAACTATGTAGTGAGACACTGAAGGAATTATCAGGATTGACTGCAAGCATCTTCAACTTGACTAGGAAGGATTAGAATGACCTATGGAGTGAACTATAACAGGTTTTCCAGGAAGGTTTCTGATTGGCTCTCATCACCAAAGTTAGCAATGATTGCTAACCTGGATGCTTTAACCACAGCTATTCTGGTCATGAGACATTTATAGTAGCTTCTAAGGCCAAATTGAATCAAGTTACCATGAATAAAAATTAGCATTAAAAAGTAGGACTTCTCAAGAATTTTCAAGATTTTTAAGACTGACAAAGAAGATAGAAGTTTCCATCCATTAGAAAGGGTTTTCAACATCTTGCTGATTTGTATTTAAAACTTGGTAAATACTTTCAGTGAAAAAAGCAACTAGTGTACTACTAACAAGTATAAAGAAAAGCTTTTGTTCAGAGAAAAAAAATTCAGTCATCAGAGACAAAACCAAGACATTGAAACCATTTTTCTTTACATTTTTATAAGAATTGTAAGTTAAAATTATTTATTGTTAGATATAGGAATGTATGAGAAATGCCTTAGTTTTAAGCCTATTTGCTTTCTTCAAGTCTAGAGTGTAAAGAACTCTAAAGTCTAAACCCAATATTCAGAATACTTACGACAGTCTTCAGGCTCATCAGATCCATCACCACAGTCATCCACAGTGTCACATTTCCACCAGAAAGGGATGCATTTATCAGTTTTGCATTGAAACTTAAAAAAAAAAAAGATGCAAGAATAATGTTCATAACCATAACACATGTGCAGTGGGTATTCATGAAGACCATGGTGTATCCCCTCCAACTCACACTGTAGTATGGACTTGCATGGTTTTCGAGCCTCCACAATGAGGATTGGATATACATTAATCATAATAGGTCACCTACCTAACTAAGCTGTTACAGAGGCTGCATGGCCTTAGAAGACTGAGACATCATTCTACTCCTACACAGTAGTTAATGTCTGTCAAATATTACATAAGGCTATTAGGAAAAGATATCAACATGATTTAGGTAAGTTTGAATTAATTAGAGAGAATTACATTTTCATAAGAATCTTGGAGACCTCAGTGAAAATTGTGCCAGATCTTATCCTTCAGATGGTATGGGCAAATTTGTTCCTTCTAGTTGTACACTCTCATTTATTCAGTGTCATGAATGTTCTTAACCCAAACTAACAAACAAAAAACTACCTATGATAAGAATTTGTTGCATCCCACATAAATATTGTTGGTACTTCTTCAAGATAATAGACATACAATTATTTTCAATTATTGGAATTATTTAAAAACATATATAGTAGAAGACAGTAGGCTCCAATATGCTCAGAATACAATTCTACCTTTATGAAAATTCCATACTAGAGCCTATTATTGGAGCAATTGATACATGCTGAATGTTTTAATGTGATTTGGGAAAGAACGGGAATTCACAGCAATATTTTAAAAGATGTAAAAATTGGGCTCCAATAGTCCCTTGGCTGATTTTATTAGTCTCTTTTATTCACTTATTGCTTTGATTTTATGTGAAGCAGGAACTGACTGAGAAGCTGGAAATAACCTTGAACTCATGCTAATTGTTTAAAGTGCTAGGATCACAGATATGACTAAAAAATAAAAATTAAAAAGAAACACAGAAGAAACTTGTATTATAAAATTTAATATTATTACTTAAAATTCTAGTTCCTTAAAGCTCCAGTGACAGATGTTATTTATTTTCAAATCCTTACATTTAAAATATCAAAGTCACCATGAGAAACATAAACTGGGCAGAATTAGCTCAGCCATATCATTTTGTATTAATAAGACAAGAGAAAATTGACTAAGAAAAACAACATGTTGTCATGGGTTCATGGCAGAATTGACTGACAGGCTATTTGGCATGTGAGTTATTAGAAGAGAAAAGCTTCTTCTGAATGAGGAAGGGGTCTGAGCTCATTTGAACCAGTAAGTTAGAACACAAAGCTATTTATTCATTTGCATTTGCTTTTGTTGTTGGTATTGTTTTGGGATACAGTATCATTTAGTACAGGATATCATCAAACTCTATGCATAATTGAGGATGACCTTGAACTTCTGTCCTCTATCCTCCACTTCCTGTATTTAAGATTATACGTATACATCTCTATTTCAGGTGTTTATGTGGCACTGGGAATTGTTTCATCCACAGGTAAATCAAACACTCTATTCACTGAGTACTCCATGCCCCAAAGTGATTTAGTGTCAGCTTTGCTATGTACAACTATGTACAGTGACTTAAAGGCTCAGTCAATTAGATCATTTGTACCACTGGGCAATGTGATAATATTTAATTTTACTAGGACTTAAATATAAAATATTTAATCTTATTAAGATTTAAATGTAAAATATTAATCTTACTAATATTTAATTATAAAAATTAAAGCAAATTTTCTGAACAGTGAATACACATATCTGAAGTAATTGACATTAAATCACTTAAAGTAAACAATTAATATATTAAATCACTTTTGTTGATCAAAGTATAAGCTTTGCTCTCCATTATTTTATTTATTTATCTTTACTTAATTTATTGGTTTGTTTGTTTTGAAGCAGGTTATTACTATGTGGTTCTAGCTGTCCTGTAACTTTACTACGTAGAGCAGGCTGGCCTTTAACTCAAATAAATCCACCTAGCTCTGACTCCAACATGCTGAATTTGAAGGCATGTCCTACTACACTCAGATTCTTCTTTATTTCTTTAAAGAGCTAATGTTAATTCAGATGTTGAAACCTTGGGTAAATACAATTCTATAAGTCATTTTCTTTCTGAAATGTCATGTATTAATTCTCATGCAAATGATTTGACATGGAAAAAATTAACATGTAAATATTGCTTTGGCTCAATAATCTTTAATAGACATAAGTATGAAATCCATTTGTTAGTTTAAAATGTGATTGCTTTAGTAAGAAAGCATTTATTGTTAACATATACTGAATACATCCATATACCATAAACCTGATTCTAGATAGAGTTACAAACTCCACATTAGTGGAGGAATAGAGATCATGACCCTTAGGGAAAAATGTATATTCAACCATCTTTCTGTAGTTTTTTTTCAGCCTGTTTTGTTTCTCATAAGTTACAAGAGGAGAAAAATAACTTTATAGGTAGTTGCCTCTTTGGGAAGATGAAGCTAAATCTGGAAGCAATTACCCTGAACATTAAATATTTTCTGTCATTACAGTATAACAAAGCATATTAGTAAGAGGATTCTGTGTCTTCTAAGTATCCTCAAAGTATTCCCAATTATGAGTTGGAAATTCTTAATACATACTTAAATTCATGAAACATATCTGATTTAAATAAATACCAACTGTTGGAATTATACATAATAAGAAATTCTGCTCTCATTTCAATCTAACAGTAGCATAAAAAGGTTTTGAGTTAAAGAAACAATGATAACATACACTTACATTATCTTTTAATTATAACCAACATACTATTAGGAGACTTCTTCCATTTCATGTATCAGCTTCATTTTTTATATTTAAATTTTGTTGCATTGAAAATAAAAACATAAAATCCAGTAACATTAAAAATAAAGATACAAAACAGCATCATCACACCCCTTCCTACCAGATGGTCATAGGGGCCAGGCTTGAGATGGAGCCAAGTAAGCCTGGAGCAATTGGAGATGCCCCCCCCACCACACCCTAGTTTGAAGTGGAAGCTGTCCACACTCTCCTCACTGGATCAGCAGCATAGTTGACTATAAAGAGGATTATGACTACAGTGTCATACAAGAAGATGAGCAAACTATTCAGGTAAGGAAATAATCAGGAATGTGAAAAAAAAATAATATACTACGAGAAGAAGGATGGGTAGGTGAAATAAATAGGGGATAGGTGTGTTCTCTGATATTTTCATCAAAGAAATGAAGTGAGATAGAGAATCCAAGGATGACACTTCGCCCATCAAATCGGAAGGGAGGCTGTGTAGTAAGTCTTGAAAAGCAGATGAGCACTTAGAACATCTAGCTCAAAGAATTCAGCTGCATCTACAACAGCAAAACATTTGGACAGCAGAGTCCTTTTAATGATATTTTACAAAATGAGGATGAGCTGGATATTCACGGCAGGCGACATTAGCTGAGTGGAATCCTGAACAGTAAGTTGGGATTCTTTTCCTCCAATAGTGAAAAAATTAGAGCTAACATGTTCTGAAAGGCATGGAACACAGAAACTGTTTGGCTGACCTTATCTAACCTTATAATCCCAGGAAATAGGAGGTTAATTGTCCTTGGATCATTTACATAGCCAAAGAAATCTAAGGTCTTGAATTTAGAGAAATTTTTATTTTTTATTACATTTTTCTTATTTAAAAGAATTTTAACATTACTTGCATTGTATCATATCCCCACCCTATCCCTCATTCTTCCATATCTTCTCTCCTTTGTACTCAACTAAATATAAGTTCTTTCTCAAAGAACAAATAAATAAGCAAATACAGTAAGGTCCCCAATCCAAAAAAAAGTAAATTACCAGCAAGTAACAAAAACCTTGAAACTGTAACCAAATAAATGCACACAAAAAAGAACTTTGCAGTACATATGTTCATCAACTACTTTTGAACATAAGGCATGTCAGTCTTTTGGAGAAAACTGGTTTTTCTTCTCTCAGGAGGTATAAATAACATTTCAGTTGTTAGTCTATACCCTAGTGGTTATGTTTTCATTCATTCATTCATTTTCTTAAAATATAAAACAATATCATATAAGAAGGTAAAATGAAAGCTAGCATCTTGAAGTTGGACAAATTGGACAAGCCAAACCAACAGAAGCAAAAAAGCCCAAGAAAATGCATAACAATCAAAGACCACTTATTTGCATACTAAGGCATCCCATAAAATCACTCAGTGTTAAGCCATTGAATCATTACATTCATATCTGTTTATCCCTTTCCCAGTTTTAAAGAAATATATCTGGAAATATTTTTTAAAGCATGCTTTGGTGAGTAACTTAGGATATGTATATCTAGTACTAACATGTAAGAGAGGGGGGAAACTAAATGAAACAGAAAAGGCCTTAATCCTATCTATTACCACTGTGATCTAAATCTAAGAATACTTAGGGAAAGAAAATATACAAATTGATGACAAAAAAAAAAAGCTAAAGAGAAGTAGATATGATGCAATTGGTAAGTGAGGTGACTAGAGATGCATGCTAGTATAAGTGTGAAATTGGAAGACAGAAATATTTCCAGATGACTTTAGGTCAGGAGAGTGAACTATATAAAGGCTTCCCAAAACCAAGCAGCCACCTTCTATTAAGGGTGCAGTACTGAAACCTGACTTGTTAGTTGTAGAGAATTTTTCCTTTGAAGTCAAAAAGGAAGAGGAAAAGTCACTTCTGGAACAGAAACTTAAACCTATGTTTTTATAGTCCCACCCAAAGGCCTACTCTTCCTACCAAAGCCAATTGTATATTGAGGTCTCCTGTAATAATTTATCTAAAGAAATCGCCCCCCCACACATACATACATACACACACACACACACACACACACACACACACACACACACTACAAAAAAAACCAAACAATAACAACAACAAAAAATAGTTTCACCTCCACCACTGTCATCCCAAATTAATGGAGAAGTTTCTACAATTTCATCAAAGATTGAAACTGAGCCAGTATCAAAACTAAACCTACATCTGTCATTTAGGCTAAAATTCCATTGACCTACAGACTTTCA